AACTCAGGCCTTTCTTGATTCCTTAAGATAACAGATACAATTTATATACAAGGAATGCCTGCATTGATCTCATTTCAGTAAAGACAAGTGATGCATATAAGAAACAATATATAAGTAAATGTATTTTACCTTTAAGATCCCACTTTTTACATCTACATAAATGTGATTCTAAGTCCACAACATGTTGATCTTCATGTCTAACAGAGACCTCCCACTTATGTCCTCCTACATGCCTTAGTGGAACACCTAATAGTTCGTAAAACAATAAACAACCAATACATTTGCAGTCCACAACATTTGCATCAAAACCAGTAAACATTTGTATAATTTGCAAACACATTTGCAAATTGAAACAGTAAACACTAAATTTAAATAGTTAACAAATTTGCAAACACAAAACCTAAACATGCAACAATAAACAAAGTGAAAAATTTAAACAATAAACAGTAAATTACATCATGGGCTGCATTATAACAGTGTCAACCTTCTTTTGAATTTTGGGACAAAGTTGACTATTAATCTTCTCACCCTCTTCTTTCTTACTTACAATTCTTTGCATGATCTTTGATATAATCATCTCCATCATGGTCAAAAGTGACTTGTCCCTTGCTTCCAATATCATCTTAACAAAAAAATACACACACACACACAATTAATTGAGATCATGTTCTATTTGTTAAAACACAAAAAAGGGTTAAATAATAATTTTACCTTGTTAAAACTCTCACATAAGTTGTTAAGGAGCATGTCAGACTTGCGCCTTGTTGAAAAATGAGACTTTGACCATCGTGCAAGGTCCTTATTTTTCAGCCAATCATAAGCATCTCCTGACATTGATCTCATTTTAGTCATTACATTAGTAAATTGTTTCTTGTATGTTGCTCTTACAGCTTTCCATAGTTGATCTTTTAATGTCTTTCCTTGATTGCTCCTCTTTGACTTGAAGTTGGAATATAGATGTCTCACACATGTTTTGTGCTATCCATTAGGAAACAATTATAAAATTGCCTCAACTAAACTCTATAAACACCAATTAATTAATCATTAGTAAAGTAAATACCAATTAATTAATCATTAGGAAACAATTATACATGACGAATGAGTCACCTGTAATTCAGCTCAACAGTAGGGAGCCTTGATCTATTAGAATTTCAAGTCGAATTTCAATTCTGTTACAGAAGATTTTGATAAATTGGATTTCAATCACAGAAAAAGATATCAGACTTACAGGAGCAAATTCACTTTTGGACCCTCTTTTTACCGAACAAAAATCTGTGTCCTTGTATCTTTGCCCTATTTTCGTTATACGATAAATGGCCAAAGAGGGGCAGATGTAGATACGCATTTTCGTCTGGGGTTTTTATATAGCATAGTATATATAATAAATATAGTTTTTGGAATATATAATATATAGTTTTTGGAAACTTATTTTTAAAAACATATAATATATAGCTTTCAAAACGATTTTGAAAACATATAATATATAGTTTTTAAGATAATTTTGAAAACATATAATATATAGTTTTTTAAAAAAATAATTTTGAAAACGTATATAGTTTTGAAAATGTATAGTATATAGTTTTAAAACGGTTTTGAAAACATATATATAATATAGTTTTTAAAAATGGTTTTTGAATACGTTTTTTGAAAATATATTAATATATTTTTGGAAATATAATATACATTATATAGTTTTATTATTATTATTTATATTATTTATTATTATTATTGTTATTATTATTATATTTATTTAGGTTATATTATTTATTTAATTAATTTTATTCTTAACAGGTCCAATTCAATCCAAAATACAGTCCAACCGAGTCAGCATGCATGACCCAACAAAGCCATCCCGGTTAGGGGGCCTCACCCAGCTCAAAAAATATTAGTGTTCTATATCAAGCAAGGGCGTCGCACGGGGGGCGCGTGGAAACCACGCGCCCGAATAGTTCGAGAGCCGGCCGAATTTCTCGACCCCAGAAAGTGAAATTGGAGTAGCAACATCGTGTCGAAATATCAACCAATACCCTAAGATATTCGAGACCATAATGACCGACCATAGGGTCATAAAAACCCCGACCGGGCACAACAACAACACAACAAGAAGGATATCACCGAAAAACTTCGAAACAACACCCAAGAGAAAAAATCGAGCAGCAAAAGACCAAAGTCCAAGTTACCAGAGAATACCAACACAAAAATCGAGCCAAAGCAAAAGCGAAAAATAAAAAAAAATAGTCGAAATCAAGAGCGAAAAAAAAGCTCAAAGCTTTGTTGCATCCTGGGCCGCCGAAGGTACATAGGAGCATCGTCGGATAGATAAATACACCGGAAACGAAACGTTTCCCCCAAAAAAAGGTAAAATTCTAACGTTTTTGAAATCGGGTTTCGGATCAGGAGGAACGTTTTGGTGAAGTTAAATTTTTTCCGACCACCGGAACGGCAACCGGTGCGGCGGGTGGCCGACTGTAGGTCAGTTTGGGGAGAGAGTTTGGCGGGGTTTGGTTTTTGGAAATGGTTGAAAATGAGATGAAAAATGTGTTTTAAGGTGTATATATATATATATATAGAGAGAGGACCTTTATGCAATTACCAAATATTTAAATTATTTCCACAGTCCTTGTACTTTTGATGCATAATTCATTTTGGTCACATGTTGTAATTTTTCCCTCGAATTTTGAATTTATTCAATTTCATCACTGTTTAAATTCCTTATGTTTTTCAAATTGACCCTCCTAACTTTTTATTTTTTTTGCAGCTTCCGAATAATATCAATTCGATCCTTAATTTCAAATTTTTTTCCTTCAAGTTAAATCCTTTTAATTTAAAGTTTTTTGTGTTATATTTCTCAATTTAATTGTGTCTTGTCTTAATATTTAACACTGATTTGATTCATTATTTTTTAGGGTCAATTTTAAATCATTCAAGGGTAAGTAATTTAGATCAAACTTTTAAATTTTAATTTGACTTTTAATTTTCGCAATTAAGACAATCGGAAAATTAAATTGGTACCGAAAAGGGCAATACAAGGGTGTTAATCTTTCATTGACTGTAACCAACTCTCGGACCCGACATATTTCTGGTAAAATACATATCAGGTAAGATGATAAATCGAGGTATCCGATCAACCTAATTTTTAAAAAATAATAATAATAATAAATGATCGGTGGCGGCTCTAGTATATTTTATTTAAGAGAAAATCGCCTCAGTGACCAAAAATACCTTATAATATACGATTTTAACCAATTTTTTTTGGATTTGCCAAAATGACCAATAAAATCGCAACGCGATATAAAAATCGCAACGCGATTTAGAAAATCGCAACGTTAAAAAGAAAATCGCAACGGTCAAAAGAAAATCGCAATGCGAGCTTCCAAGTTCGCAACGCGATTTAGAAGAAAATCGCAATGCGATTGATAGAATCGCAATGCGATTTATAGAATCGCAATGCGATTGAGAGAGTCGCAACGCGATTTAGAAAATCGCAACGTTAAAAAGAAAATCGCAACGGTCAAAAGAATAGTTAAAAAATTTTTGTTTCTTAAGAATTTTCTCTAAAAAAATAGATAGCTGCGACGTGTCGAAGACACGTATTACCACGACCACGACCACGACCACGACCCACGACCACGACCACGACCCGACCCGCGACCCGACCCGACCGACGACGGCGGCGGCGACGGCGCGCGAGAGTCCCCTTGTCCTCTTTCACTCAACAAGGAAGTGCAAATACAAGCCTTAAATACCATTCCCAATAGTATTTCCAATACTATGTGGGATTGAGCATTACCAACACTTGTTCCAAATCATTATTCTTCATAAGTTATCATCCATTACATATGAATTAGTCGTGTTAATGAACCAATACCTCATTAATATATGGTATTGTAACAAAAAAAGAATGATGATGATGATCTTATTAAAGACCATCTAATACGAAGAATCCAATGCATAACCGATACCTATTGTGAAACTAATTCACATAGAGGTTGTACGTGAAAAAAAAATCTTTTACTTTTATAGTAAATATCTATCTCAATAATTTTAATATAAAAAATATATTTTTATTTAATAATAGAATTATTTCATGTATTTATCAAGTTATAATTTTAAATACTTATTAAAATGAATTAATTTATTATCGATAATTCATATTGTAATGGATGATAACTTTTGAAGAATAATGATATTGGGAACAAGTGTTGGTAATGCTCAATCCCACATAGTATTGGAAAACTATTGAGAATTATATTTAAGGCTTGTATTTTGCACTTCCTTGTTGAGTGAAAGAGGACAAGGGGGACTCTCGCGCGCCGCCGCCGCGCCGTCTCGTCGGGTCGTGGTCGTGGTCGTGGTCGTGGTCGTGGTCGTGGTCGTGGTCGTGGTCGGGGTCGTGGTAGTGGTAGTGGTAATACGTGTCTTCGACACGTCCGCGGATACTATCTTTTAGAGAAATTCTTAAGAAACAAATTTTTTAACTATTCTTTTGACCGTTGCGATTTTCTTTTTAACGTTGCGATTTTCTAAATCGCGTTGCGATTCCTCAATCGCATTGCGATTCTAGAAAATCGCATTGCGATTCTCTCAGCCGCATTGCGATTTTCTTCTAGATCGCGTTGCGACTCTCTCAATCGCATTGCGATTCTATAAATCGCATTGCGATTCTATCAATCGCATTGCGATTCTATCAATCGCATTGCGATTTTCTTCTAAATCGCGTTGCGAACTTTGAAGCTCGCGTTGCGAACTTGGAAGCTCGCGTTGCGATTTTCTTTTGACCGTTGCGATTTTCTTTTTAACGTTGCGATTTTCTAAATCGCGTTGCGATTTTGATATCGCGTTGCGATTTTATTGGTCATTTTGGCAAATCCAAAAAAAGTTGGTTAAAATCGTATATTATAATGTATTTTTGGTCACTGAGGCGATTTTCTCTTTATTTAATTCGAAGCCCAATTTCGGATCCACCAGAAGTACTGTTACCACAGTATGTAATTTCTTTGATGCAGGATGATTCATACATAGATAGTTACATAAGCACCATTGGGGTTGATTTTGTGAGTAAACAGTCTCCAGTGTTAACTTCTGAATGCCAAATTTATGGAAATCATTCTAATTTCTTGTTTTCTGGTTTTATTTTTGGGTAGAAAATACGCACCGTGGAGCAGGATGGGAAGACCATTCCACTTCAAATTGTATGTTTTAGGATACTATTATGTTGTTTTTTTTCCCGTTTAATTCCTTCGAGTTTTCAGTTTAACTTTGGTTAGTTTGCTCTTGGTTAAATGTGTAGTGGGACACTGCTGGACAAGAACGATTTAGGACAATCACTAGCAGCTACTACAGTGGGGCTCATGGCATAATCGTGGGTGATCATTTCGTTTCTATTTCTTCTCCTTTCAGATCTTCTTTTTTGTGGTTTCAGCTATTTATTTATGCTTATCATAAACATATTTTCTTATACCCCCCCCACGGCATTTACCGGTGGTTCCCCTGTTAGATTGTTTATGATGTGACAGACCAAGAAAGCTTCAACAACGTCAAGCAGTGGTTGAATGAAATTGATCGCTATGCTAACGACAGTGTTAACAAACTACTTGTTGGAAACAAATGTGATCTTACAGAAAACAAAGTCGCGTCTTACCAGACCGCCAAGGAATTTTGCTAGTTTCGTGTGTTACGCATAAATAATTTTCTTTTGAGGAGAAGCTTTGCAGCCGGATCGTTTATATTAGTAGCCTCATGATTACGATTTATTCTCCCACCCCTTTCTATACTGGCGTTTGCGGATGAAGTTGGCATAGCTTTTATGGAAACCAGTGCAAAAGATTCCACGAATGTGGAACAGGCCTTCACTCGAATTTATGTTCATATTTAATAATAATTATTTATAATATTTATGATAAGAGTTAATTCTTATTTAAACGAATTTTATTCAATCATACAAAGTATTCATATATATATTATTTATTACAAATAATAAAATAATTTGAATTATGACCACGTGTCGTGTATTAATTAGATTTTTTTTAAAGACATATTACTGAAAATGATAACCAAACAATTATTGACCACTTATAACAAACAATTATTGACCACGTGTTTTGTGTGTGTTTGTAAAAGTTTAAATGCATATCAATTTATCAACTTGAAAAAACTTGTTTTTAACATTTTTCAATATTAGAAAACATTTTTAAGAAGAAAAAAAAGTATAATAATTTATTTTATTATTTATTATTTTATAAATTCAACTTCACGTATTTTTTTTATTGTTTTTCATTTTCTAATAAAATTAAAAAAAAATATTTTTAAAACCAAACGCAACGGCTTAGCTTCTCTCTTATTCTTTCTAACAATTTTCTTTTTATTTTAAAAATGATATTTAATTTTATATTTTAATTTAATTTTTCAAAATATAAATATTTTTAATAAACAATAATATTTTTGCCAACAATAAATAACTGTCTTTTTAAAAATATTATTTTCACGTATTATGCGATGCTCTCGATCAGCACTTTGAGACAAAAGAACCCGAATCTAGGTTTAGGGATTGGATATTCTATTGCATTGCAAGGGCCGCTGAACTAGGGTTTGGCCGCGTAGCACGATTCTATATAAACCCCTTGAGCTCTCTTATTTCTCTCACAAGTATTGAGCACAGAGGCGGCCATCACTGAATCGGAAAAGAAAGAGAAGAGATGGAGCAAACATTCATCATGATCAAGCCTGATGGCGTCCAAAGGGGTTTGGTAAACACTTCTACTTCCACTCTGTCAGTTTTAGTTTCTTTCATCTGTAACTTTATCCGATCGTTTGAACCCCTTTAACTGCTACAAATTAAAAGGAAAAAGAAAAGATAATACCTTGGTGGTCTGAGTTTTGAATTTTCTAAGTAGAGCAACTCGTTTTCGATTTTCAGCTGCATGGAACTTAGTGAACTTTTTTAAGTTCGTAGATCTAATGTCCTCGGGCTAAAAGTTGGTCCAACTTGCCTAATATTCTATACTGGGTAGCATACGATGCTGTTTTAGTTTTATTTCAATCTTTTTTGCATGTTAAGGCCATGAAATCAGAACTCTGAGAAATGAATTCTGGAACATATGAATGGTTCTCACCTGTTTTTCTATTGTAGCATGTTATTTGTTCGACTGTGGGTTAAAAAGTGAGAAACTGTATTTCTTATCAAGATTATTGTGTCTCTCAGGTTGGTGAAATCATTGGCAGATTTGAGAAGAAAGGTTTCTATTTGAAAGGTAAAACGTTCAATTTTCTGATAATTTCCTCTGTTTTTCCTTGGTGTCGATTCCGAATATTATCATATTTGATTCTAAATACTTTAGATGTTATTGAATGTTGACAATACTTCAGTAACATACAAAATTGATGCTCTTCTCTCAGTATATTGAAATTAATAGCACTATATTCTTTTGGGTTGAATGTTTACTTATTTCACTTTGGATCTGCCTAATTTAGGCTTGAAACTCATCGCTGTGGATCAATCGTTTGCTGAGAAGCACTATGCAGACCTCTCTGCAAAGCCCTTCTTTAATGGACTTGTGGAGTATATTATCTCTGGTCCCGTTGTTGCTATGATTTGGGAGGGTAAGAATGTTGTTACCACTGGTCGCAAGATTATCGGAGCCACAAACCCTGCTGAGTCTGCTCCTGGAACAATCCGTGGTGACTTTGCAATCGACATTGGCAGGTATAGATCTTTTATCCTTTCATTTATCATATTGCTTCTTCTGTTTTGTTATTTACCCTTGATATGACTAAAAATCATATCAATCTGTTGGTTTTGGTTGTCTTTTTTTTCCAGGAATGTGATTCATGGAAGTGATTCAGTCGAGAGTGCAAGGAAGGAAATTGCATTGTGGTTCCCAGAAAGCTCTGTTAACTGGCAGAGCAGCGTCCACCCTTGGATCTATGAGTAGATTTTTAGACCAAACCGCTGCAGATCATAGTATCATCATGTTTGCCCCTTGTTAGCAAACTTTTTATCAACTTTTTACTAAGTTAATCGTCTTTGGTTATCGTATAAGACAGTATTGTTGTGCTCTAGCGGTAACTTGTTTGAATTGAATTCGGTTTGTATTCACCGGAAATTTTAGGATTACGCCGGCTGGATAAATGTTGAGTTGAGTTTTGACCTTTGTTCGTGCAAGGTATTAGACTATTAGAAGTGGGACGGTGGTTTTTCTCTCGATGATTTCTTGTTCTTGGCCATAATCATTGCCCATGAGTTCATTAGGCTTAAACTAATGAAAGTCCCTAGGCTATACTACTTTTTGCTATAAGCCCATAAACTATTTCTTGATCAAAATTAGCCCTTAAACTATTTTATGTAACCACTTTTAAGTATCTAAATTATTTTTTGGTTAAACAAGTCTTTAAACCATGACTCTTTTTTGCTTCAAGCTCTTAAACTATTTTGTTTGGTCAAAACAAGTACTTAATTTTGTGTGATGTGTCAACATCTTATTGTCTGAAAAATAATTTTCTTACTATAAAAATCATAAGACTTAAAATAATTAAACACAACAATTTATGGACTTAATTTAAAAAATAGTTTAGGAACTTAAAATAAAAAGACTACATGATTTAAGTACTTATTTTTACTTTAAGCCTTTCTAAAATTGAAGTGGCATGAGCGGGAGAAAGCAAATGGTTTTCATTTGGTTTAATAAACTGATTTTAACTAATCATTGTCATACTTTATCCGTTTTACTAACAGACTTGGGACTTAAATCTATCAAATTGTAATGATTCAATGTTAGTTTGATTGAGTCTATTATATTTAATTTCCATTTTGCTTTCCCTGCAACGAGTAGGAAAAAGCATTTCATCTTTTTGGGTTGATTTGTTTTTAAATATATATTTCGATTTGAGAAGCTCAGTTCGGCTTATCGTTTATGAACCAAACATTTTCGGTGGTAAAAAATTATTATAATTTTTTGAGGTCTTAAGTTCGAGCATCAGAAATATAAGGGGGTATGAACATTCGATCTCAAAATAATTGAAATTTATCTTTGAACAGATATTACATTATGCTTACTCTATCTTAATAAAAAAAATAACTCAATCAATAATATATCAATTTACTTATTTATTTTTTACTGTATTATTTTCTAGTGTCTCACTTTGGTAATCTTATAAATGCCTATTTTCTTAATATACTCTGATCTGATGAGCCAAAATAATAATAAATATATTATTTTCATTCAAAATCGGTACCCTTTAAGCTAAATCCAATACAATCAATTTCCAGTCTTAATAATAAATTACTACAGTTTACACCCCGTCGGTGATAATAATAATAATCCCCTCCAACATTCCGTGATAGAAAATATTCAGCCAATTCATAAGCATTTTACAATGATTCAAGGACATTTAACATGTTTTTTTTATTTCATTTTAGCATATAATATAAAGTAAGAAATTATATTATCTTTTGTGGTACGAAATTATGTTGGTTGCCATATGTAAGGTGGTGGCCTCACATGGACGGCACAGAGGTTGATGAAGGCACCTGCACCTGCAACATGGACAAGCTTTTGAGTTGTTATTAATCTCCATACATTTTGGGAGTTAACCAGACATGCTTTCCCCGTGTTTCACTCCAACAAAAACATGCCTCAACCTTGTCCTTCAAGTTACCCCTTTCTTGTTTCGGTTTCGAACAGAAAATGTTACTCGAAACAAAATTAAAAGAATGAGGTTCATAAATCGATAGTATCGACACGGATACTTCGACTGTCGGATGCTTATGATTCGAGGGCTATGGAAGTGAAAGTAATTGTTTAGTTGCATAGTGAAAGTTAATACTCAAGTGGATCTTAGGGTCATATTAGTTTAATATCCGAAGCTTAATCATTGATGAGAAATGGGGGCAAAGGACAAAACTGAGTGGAAGTTAAGAGAGGGTCCATTCAGATTGCTGTGATATCTTTGCCGAAGATTTTCTGTAGAGCTGCAGAATTGGAGATTAAACTTGTATTTAATGTAGGTCAAAATCATTTAAAAAGATGCTTTTTTTATTATTATTATCACTTATTACATTACTTTAATATATGTTAAAGTAATCATTGTTGTTCTTAGAGGTTACGGGTTTATTTGTTGGTCATAAAAGTCTTGGGTCCGAGCACCCGCGACTGCAAGGGTGATTGAGCGTTTCTTATCAAACAATTGAGAGTATTTAGAACATATACTACTTTGTTGTGATTGATGTTATGATCTTTAGGTGTAACGGTAGAATGTTCGCGATGTAATATATAGTTATATTAAACTAAAGTTATTATTTCAGTATAATCTTTGATTAGTTCAAATTAGTTAATATTTATTGTTAATTACTCATTGATTTCTTAGATTTTGTTGTTTATTTGGGTAAGTCCTATCAACCCTCCCATTTTAATTTTTCTTTGCAATTCACGCCGGGCCAAAAATCAAGAATAGAATCATCAAGCAATTTCCTTAGTCACTGCGGATCGACTCTTATTATCTCTATACTATATTCATTCTATTCTATTTTTGAGATTGAGGATATTATTTGACATTAAAACGACTCGTGTCAATCTTATATATAGAGAAATTATATGTTCCATCTTTCTTTCTTATTACTTTACACTATTTTTTTATTAAACTAAAGTGATTACAAAGTAATATTTGTTTTACACACTCTTAATCATTTGACAATAGAAGCTCAATCACCTTATTACAACAGCTGGTGTTCAAACTCGTGACCTCTAAAACAACAACAATTCTTTGCACTATTATTTGAATTACAATCTTTCACAAGTTAAAAAAAGGGTCACAAGCACATGAATCCAAAAGACAAACAGACAAGACCAGAGCAATGGGTGTTCTTCATGTTCGAAGTTCTTGTTTGTAGCCATGTTTTTTCTTGAAAAAAAGCTTAAGAAAGATCTCTAATATATTTGATGCCAAACATATCTTGAATTGCAGCCCAAACAACTTCAAATCTAAATTAAGAATAAAGAAGGTTAATGACAGTTATATAAATATTTCTGTAGGTGGACACATGTATAATAATATAATTTTTCGTATGAAGTAGATATAAATAAAATTTTAAAACTGACACCCTACATCCACCACCGAGGTCACACATACATGTTACCCTAAAAAACATTTACAAACACATACAAGATCTTTAAAAAAAAAACCCCCAAAAAAAAGTAGGACCCGACAAATTCCAAAAAAAAAAAATTCCCCACATGTAATCACATGATGGGTATGTCATACCCATGAGCACAATACAGTAGCCACAAGGTAAACCGCTGGAAAACGACTTTAATCCACTAATGAACCAAACTTTTAATTTGTTCCCTCTTCAACAAGTTAAGTTTTTAAAATTTAATAATCATGCTCAAAACCCCACACTTGTTTATGTCCAAAAAATGAAACCTTTATAATATAAACCCCACCAAATGGGGATTTCAAATCCCACACATTCGACACTTTTGGTACCAAAAAATCTTTCATGTGATGGCGGAGTTAGAGAACCCGAACGTGATGCCGAACCTGCTAGCGTTTCTGTCTTCTTTGCTGGAAGAAGTGGCTGGACCAAACGATGCGGATTCTGGGTTTAAGGGTCGGCAGATTTCGGTGTTTCAGGGGCTGACTCGGCCGACCATCTCGATTCAGAGCTACCTGGAGAGGATCTACAAGTACGCGAATTGTAGTCCGTCTTGTTATATTGTTGCGTATGTTTATCTCGATCGGTTTGCTCAAAGGCAACCCTCGTTGCCCATCAATTCTTTCAACGTTCATCGGCTGCTTATTACCAGTGTCATGGTTGCTGCTAAGTTCATGGATGATTTGTAAGTTCCTTTCAACTACTCATAATTGATTTTTTTTTTTTTAAATTAGAATATGGGTTTAGAGCTGTTGGAATTGTGAAGCCATTGAATTTCCCAGAAAAAAAATTTGTTTGATTGTGATTCAGAGTTTCAACTTATTGAAGGCATGTCAATCCAAGCTGTCTTATTATAATATATAGTTATGGACGAACGTATGAATTTATGTTATGGGTGTAAACTTAAGAAATTATATTGAAAATTTTAAGAATATTGAATTATAGAAAATACAAGAAAAAACTTAAAATATAAAAAATTTTGAAAATTTTAGAGAATGCGACTTCACCGTAACCATCCCTCGGTCCATCCCTAATCATGGTAGTCGGACAACTAGTCATCCATGAAACAGTTTTGCCTTGCTTGCTTTCTTCTTTTGTTTTCTCTATGTCCATGTGCTTCAATTATTTTGAAAAAAAAAAGTAAATTTAAAAAATGTTCTTGGAAAATCTTGGAAAGTTAAATTAAGAAAATATAGGTAGTACATATGACACTCATTATGCCAAATTTGGTAAAACTACTATATAGATCTTAGTTGTGTAAGATAAAATTATTTCGATTATAAGATATTACTTTATTAATTACTTCAACTATTAAAAGTTATAACTTTTGATTATATAATGTTGTTTTGTTAAGTTCAACTATTAAAAGTTATAAAATTATTATTGAACTATTTATTACGTTCTAAATTTGTCTTTTTTATTAAAAAATTAACGATGATCTATATTGAATGTTAACATGTTAATCGCAATACAATAAATCACATGATTTCAGGTATTATAACAACGCTTACTACGCAAAAGTAGGAGGAATCAGCACGATAGAAATGAACTTCCTGGAAGTGGGTTTTCTGTTCGGGTTGGGATTCAACTTAAACGTAACCCCAAATACCTTCCACACCTACTTCTCTTACCTACACAGGAAGATGATGTTGCACCAACCTCCACCCCCAAGTATCATTATTGCAGAAGCAGCCTATTCGTGTTTCAATGAAGAAGAATCCTCTCGCTAAAACCAACAACTAGCTGTTTAATAGTAACTTTTTATAATGTTATAGCTCTGTGACTTGTTCAAGCACCACTTGTGTACTCAAAACCCTAATCTTCTCTCTCTCTTCTTTCTCTGGTTTTGGACTTCTTTAGCTACTGTATGAATGGATGAGTTTGTTCTTTACAGTAAGGAATTAATTTCTCAAAGTTTCTTTCGGTTCATGATATATCAAGAGACTGATAATCAGAGTATTAATTTAAACTTGAAGACAATGATCCTAAAAAATCACACCTCAGAGAAGAAAGGAGCATCAAACAGATTCAATCAATCATTCAATCGAAAAACATGGTGACAATGGAATTCGAAATATCACACAATTGGGAAGTAACGTTGTTGATGTCGGTCAATGGTGAAACCAAGCCTGGTATTTCACTGAACCCGTCTTCACAAGTCGTGACGTAAGTCGAGGCCGCACTCACGTGGGTATTAGCATCACGGTATCGCTTGGCATTGTAATGTTGGAAGGCCTCTTCGGCACTAAAGATCGCAAGGGAATAAATTTGGACGCAACCTTGCACGCGTATTCTCATGGGAGTCTCCATCTTTTTGTGCTTCAAAAGCTGCTCAATGTAAGACCTCGAATCCGTTAAGTTCCGACGGAGCAGTACGAACGATATATCGCCCAGTTGACGAAGATCTTTGGCGCTGTGGCTGTTGGGAGCTGCTTGCAGAGAGTTTACACAGAAATCGTAGCTGAGATTTGGGCTGCCATCTGTGATTTTCTTGCATGTTGTTCGTATGAGATTGCTGGCGGTGGGAGTTAAGCAATAGGAGGATAGAGTGGAAATAAAGAGCAGGGAGATAATGAGAGGGATGCCAAAGGAAGAAGACGACCTTATCCTCATTTCTGTATACTTGGTTACTTAAATATAATTATGTCATTTTTAAATAGTCTTACAAGGTAAAATATGTTTAATTTTTTTTATATAAAATAACTGCTCGAACTTAAAATTCAAAACAAAAATAATATTATTTTTATCGTTAAAACCACTTAATGGATTCAATATAATCCTTTATTAATACTGTATTTTGATTTTTAGTACATGTATTCCTAAAAATGGTTACCAAATATTAAAGAATGAGATTGCTCCAAAATTATTCAGTTAACCGTTCCGATTGATTCCTGTTCCTTTACCACAATTAAAGGTAAAATTGCATCTTTCCTTACAAGTAAATAAACTAAAATGGTATGCAATTGAATTTTACTTTCATTCACAATTTCTTTTACTATTATTTAGGGGTGTAAATGAGCGGAGCGTTTGGTGAATTATTCGTATAACGTTCATTTATGTTCGTTTGTTAAGCTAAATAAATGAACATGAACAAAAATATTTATGTTCATTTAATAAACGAACAAACACGAACAGAGGTGTATTCGGCTCGTTTATGTTCACAAACAAGCTTTTTTATCAACTCGTTCATTAATGTTCATGAACAAACTCGTTTACCCGTTTCTCATTTTCCTTTTATTTTTTTTACATTTTAAATATTGGTGAATAAAATGATTAAATAAAACACATGATAAAAGTTACATTTTAAACTATGAACTTTAAGGAGTTTAAACACCAGTGGCGTAATTTTAACATTTTTCTTTAGCTTGCAAATGAAATTAAAAATTGAATATATAAACGAACGATAAACAAACACTAAAACAACGCTAAACTAAATGAACACTAAATGAACGCTAAACGATTATGTTAGTGAACATGTTCGTGAACATATAAACGAACATGTTCGCGAATATTAAACTAACGCTAAACGGACATGTTCGCGAATATTAAACTAACGCTAAACAAACATGTTCATGAACATACAATTGAACGCATTCGCGAACATTAAATGAACATGTTAGTGAACAATAAATAAACGAACACGAGCACGATATTGAAAATTTAAACGAACACGAACACCTTCAAAAATAAATGAACGAACACAAACATAATTTTATTCGTTCAAGCTCAGTTCATTTGCACCCCTACTATTATTATAAAGATTTGGAATTGAATTAAAATCTGATGCATTTATTCTTAAATTATATATTCTTTTTTAATTTAATATTTTTTCATTATAATTGGCATTTTAATTTAAACAATCTAAATTCTAATTAATTAAATTATAATTTAATATGATAATGTGATACATAATATTAATAATATTTTAATAGATAAATGTCATATTGTTAATTATTAAGACCAAGTAAATAATAACGGCGTTATATTAAAATAGTTAATGAGTTAATCTTGTGAGATGAGATATCATACTATTTAAGAAAGATTAGAGATTCGAATCCTAACATTTGTAAATGAAACAAATTGAATTAAAAGATTTGTCTTCGTCTCAGAAGTATCAAATTCATATTATTCGATTTAAAAATTCAATATAAGTGGTTATAAAAAAAAGACAATACCACTTTGGTGTACTAATTTATGATTTTTTTTCTTGAACATGAAAAAAAATTCAAGAATCAACTTAAAAAATGATAAAATAAGAGTCCATTGATATCAAGTATTGAATTAAAGATGACAATTTTTTTGGTGAATAAAAGAAGAAATGAAATGAAAAGGGAAAAGGAAGAATCCTCTTTTCGATTCAATTGACCCAGACGGGTCATTGGATGCCAACCCGAACCGAGTCCAACTCTGTCGACTCAGAAGAAAAGTAGGCCAGGGCCAAGCCTAAACTCAGCAGTCTGGGCCGGCTTATTCATGCCCAAATCTGAAAAGCCCATCAATGACAATCCAATTCTGGGTGTTAAAATGGTTAATTCGACCAACGATCGAATTAAATTTCTATTAACCGAATTAACTCGACTTTTTTCTTTAACCGTTAATTGAGTCAAATTCTTTCTTGAAAATACTAACCGAATCAAATAAAATTCGGTTAATTCGGTTGGTGATTGAATTATCAAACTATTTAATAATTTTTTAATTAGATAAATTTGAGTTTAATATAAGTGTTTTTTATTTATAGTTAAAATTTAATTAGTTATTGATAATTTAATGGCTCTGGTGTGGTTAAAAAATAATTTGGTCTTAATTCTTAATGGTTTTTAGCTTAAAATATGCATTTAATATATATATATATATATATATATATATATATATATATATATATATTTAATACTTTCGGTTTATTTGGTTAATTAGATTTCGAACCGAATTAAACGTTAATCGAATATTAAAAAAATCATTCTCCGTCTAAACTAATTCATTTCAATTGATTAATTCAGTTAAAACCGATTAGTAAACCCCTAATCCAACAATGCCTCAATCTTGTCGAATTTGGTACACCTTTTATTTGTAGGATAAAGTACACAAATGGTCTTTGATAATAGAGAATTGATTTGTTAAGTTCCTCAATTATAAAAAAATTATAAAATGGTCCTTCAATTATTTGGAATTACTTCATTGTGAAATCGACTATTAAAAGTTACAAAATAATCACTCAATTGTTTATAGGTTTCAAACTCATATTTTTCCTTAAAAATTTGATAGCAAGATTAGTATTCTTATTTTTATCAAATTTTGAGTGGAATAATTTTAAACCTAAAAAGTAATTTTTGTTACCAATAAAGGTTTATTCAAGTGGTAAGCAGTTTGATATCCTTAAGCAAGGTTTCGAGTTTGAGTCTTTATGTATGCAGAAAATCTCTGCTGAGAGATTCACCCAACAAAACTAAATATGCAAAACGGGTCAGTCTGGATTAATCAAATCTCTGTCTTCGATATGAAAAGAAACCCAAACCTGATCATCACATCGGCTGCTGTTATAACCACCAACAATAATGGAATCTTCCATTCAAGTTCATTATAAACCTTATATTCAAAACCTTCAAATTTGTCAATCCCACAAATTCATTCGATAACTTCCTAACTAATGAATTCCCTTCAAATTTGCCGCCCCTTTGTTTTTGAGCCGGTCCACCCAAAGTCCCCAAATCACTATTTTCCCCCAAAACCAAAAATAAAAAGTTGGATCAACTTTCAACAACATAGCTGAAAAGAAATGAGAAAGATGAAACCTTTTTTGCGAAAGGGAAAATAAGCAACAGACTTTGAAAAACTAAAGAAGAATTGAAGGGTCTTTGGATGGTAAAGAGAGCGATGGAGGATTTGAGATTTACTAGTAAACTCCAAGATTGAAAGCTTCGATGACCAATGTTGTTGGGTTTAAGGGTGGGGCGGAGAGATTAGAAGAGGAACTGGCGGAGAATTGGGTGATGGATAATAAAAAAATATAAATAGTATTAATAAATTAAAAATTAATAAAAACTACATGTCTAATAGAGTTTAGAAAGAAAGAAAAAAAACAGGTGATAAAAAATTCAATGTATAACATTCAACGAATAACTTAAAAAAATTAAAAGCACGGTAAATGAAGTAAGAGAGAAATTAAAGTTCTGTGTAATTTACCCTTAAAGGATTAGATAATATTAAGGTTTTGAATTTGAGCACCGCGTATATAAAATTAAAAACGTTTATTATCAAATTTATATATAAAAAATGTAAATACAATTATAGTAAAATTCCTTGCAAAATTTAACTTTCACCCGTAATTAAATTAGTTTAATAATGATAAAATCACAATATTAGATATTGAATGGAAGAACTCAACTTTATTTATAGTTAAATTTATATTAGAAAGTACACAGAGAAATGATGATTAAAAGGATCCAGAAAAGAAAAGGACCAAATTAGGTCTCCATAAATAGGAGAAAAGGAAAGGAAAAATAATGAATGGCCACTAAAGGCTAAACTTAGAATCCAATCTACTCTAAACGCTCGAGTTAAACTGGAAAACCAGCATACTGAAAAACAAAGCCAATCACCGCCCGACTTATGGATCAGAACCGCACACGGATCGGATCCCCACCCTCTTCGGTGGGTGGCTTCGCCTACAATTACGTGATGAGATCCAAATGGGTATTCTGACAAAAAAAAGAGACGTGGACCTCTTTGTTGATAGGGATGAGGCACAGCTTGTCACCTCCCAACCCAGCGGCGCACGTTAGTCCCGACCCCCACACTCTCCAACACCTAATCAGCCGCCCACCACCTACCCGCCCTTTTAGCCATCCTCAGCCCAATCTCTATGTCAACAAACCCCACTTTCTCCTCCACCCCCGCCTTTATCTCCCTCTTTTCCTCCCTTATTTCTTCTCTTCCCTCCCACCCCCCAATTACCCCTTTTCTGAAACGCACCGCCTTCCTCATCCTTCACCGAAGCGCACGGCGATCTTGTCTTAACCTGATCGGAAGTCTAGAAATTGGTTAGATCCATGTCGAATCCGTCTTCTCCATCTCCCGACCAGGGTCTACAATCAAACGCGTCGCCTTCACCGCCGCCTGAAGTATTGTTGTCTCTACCGGCGCCTCCACCGTCCAGATCTACTCCGGCGGATACAGCGGCAGTCCCACCCAACCCTAGGCGGCTCCCGCCGCCTTGTTGGTCGCACGATGAAACAGTTGCCTTGATCGATGCCTACCGCGACAAATGGTACACGCTGCGCCGTGGGAATCTCAAGGCCAGCCACTGGCAAGAAGTGGCGGACGAGGTTACCCGGCGCTGTCCCGTCGCGACGCCTCCCAAAACGGCCGTGCAGTGCCGACACAAGATGGAGAAGCTGCGGAAACGTTACCGGACCGAGATCCAACGGGCTAGATCTATGCCCGTTTCGAGATTTGTTTCTTCTTGGGTCCATTTTAAGTGCATGGACGCTATGGAGAAGGGGCCTAATGTGAAATCTAATTACAACTCGGATAGTCCAGATGATGAAAACGGTGAAGACGAAGAAGATGGATCGGAACAAGAATTTTACGGCGATGTGTTTAAGAACGGAACTCTA